TAATTACCAACATCTTGAATGGTAAGGGGTATGTATGGAAGAAAGACCCATTGGAGATGTGCCATTAAAGCATGTGCCATTGAGGGTAGCAGTAACTCTCAGTACAGATATGCAAATATTCATCTAAACAATTAAATGGCTTATGTTCTGCTTATGACAGCAAGGAGCTTTTTGCTTAAAAAGAAGGAAAGGACTTTTTGACCTGCATTGTAAACATTATTATAGTTATCTATGGAGTATATAAATATATTTTTGCAACTGAATATTGAATATATCAATGATCAAAAAAGTGAATCTTATATATCCTTAGTTCCTGCACTGAAACCACTTTGCTTTTCTTCTTGAAATTCGAATACTACACTTTGTGCAATAAATTAACTGAACTTACAAGTAAATTCTCTTTGGGGGAAAAAGATGGGCATGAAGGAGCAGCTAGAAGCCATTCCTACCCCGAGACTACAACAACCATATGCCATAGTCCTGAGGGCACCTGCTGCCAGGACCACAGCAAGGTCCTTTTGGATCTGGTTATGGGCCGCCTTAGGCAGCCCCAGCACAATCCTGGCATGGCTTCAGGCCACTCTAGGGGTATGCATCATCTTAACATCATGCTCCTGGAGCTGCTAGAAGCTGCTCCCATCTGCCCATCTGTTTCAGGCCTTTAGGTGCCAGACAACTGTGTGGTACCTTGAAACACCGTGAATGTTTCCCTGCAGCTACCTGATTTGAGAACAGAATTTGGTTTATCTAGCACTTATCATAATTCTGAAATTCTGAAATTTAATGGTATTCTATTAAACAAAGTATTGTGATGCTCAGATACCGTCATATGTAACTATTGGGAATATAAATTATCTATCTGTCTATCTATTAGAGAAATTGTAATCAAATATTGATTTTTATATTTTATTTTGTTTTGCTTACCAAAGCATTACCTAGCAAATTTAATCGCTGTGACCCATAAAACATTTAGGGTCTTTACAGATTGCCAGAAATTGTGCAAATTGAGGCCACTTTAACTGTCCTGGCTCAGTGCTAGGGAATCATGGGAATTGTATTTTTTTATAGGATATTGAGCCTTCTCTGCCAGAGAGCTCTGGTGCCATAATAAACTACAGTTCCCATGATTCTCTAGCACTGAGCCAGGACAGTTAAAGTGGCCACAATTTGCACTATTTCTGGCAGTCTGTAAAGGCCCTTAGTTACTTCTAATGTGGCTTGTACTAGACATCCACATGAACACATTGATGCATGGATGAAGGATGTACGGCAATAGTGCCTGATGTATTGTCTTGGTTGTGTTGTGTCCTACATGTATATACATGTGATTGGCACAAAGCTTGGAGAATTTACTTTTTTGAACAAAAGCTCGAAATCCTTGCTATCCAATCAACCTAAAGTGATTATTCTGCACTCTGGTATATCTCCATTCTTTCTTCGGGTTCTGGTTTATGACATGATATAATCTGTATTTTTAAAAGGTCACAATTCTAAAATAAAATTGGTGTGTGGTTTAAGCTCATTAAAAAGAGCTAGTTTTGCTTGAAAACTATTACACAGATTAAAAGGTTAGTGAGGGATTGTGATGGATGGAAATAATATCAATGATTTATTCGAGGTTGAAAAATATATTGAGAACCCTCATCAGAAAAAAAATAATCAACTTGAAATAATTTTCTGCAGTTTCCCCAAGTATTGGAATATCTCAAAAGTGTTTGGGAGGGATTAGTCTGGTGAGAAAGGGAGGTGAATTTTTGTACAAAACCCATTAATTTTCTACAAAGAAAATGGGTTTCCTGTTCAGAAAATATGTTTATTGCTCAGCAAATAATTCCTCTGCAATTCTATGTAATGTCTGAATAAGAGGAGGATACTGTGGAGAAAGAGAGTCAATGTATGCTATAGTGGTTTGAGCACTGGACTACTGCTCTGGAGAACAGAGTTTAAATCCCTGCTCAGCCATAGAAACCTACTGGATGATTTTGTTATCTTAAGAAACCAACAACTAACAGTAATCTGCTTAGAAAAAATAAAATAAAATTATCCTAGGGAAATCAATTACACCAAATATTACACCAAATATTCCTAATACTCATAAACAACAATTTAATTTTCAAGAAGAAGCTTCTTATTGCTTCTTATTAAAATTATTTCTTTATCTTCTTTGTCTTTGTCTTTGTCTCCCTTATCTATTGTGAATGTCCTCAATAGTGCCCTCAGTATCAATTACATTAATATCAGGGCAAAATACAAGTGACCAAGTAGTAAATGTCTTAGGTGTACAATCTCCCCTTTCCTTATACTAGTCACTCCTTTTAGGTCACTCCCTGACACAAGAGTTGTTGCTGTTGGTTAAGGGCTATAAAGTCTTATCAATGCACTTCTCACACGTCTTCATCCAAATCGCTGCCCTTTCCTTCTTATATAGGAACTCAGGTGAGGTCTGGAGTCTTTGTATGTTACATAGCCGCCTGCATTATTTTCAAACCTCCCACTGCTACATTTAGGGAGAGAGTGTTGATATGGAGAACCTTATTCCCTCTATCTTTCCAGCTCTGGAACCTTGAAAGGCGTTGTAAACCAACAAAACAGAGTAACAATGTTGACAGTAATAGAGGCTCTTGCTTCCGCCACGGCTTCTCCAAAGCTGAGCTAAGCAAATCAGTCTTCCGACTACAACTCCCAAGGTTCTTTCTGCTTCTCTGCCTTGACTTCCTGTAGACACCCCCTCACCGTATGTTTCCTCATAGACAATGGAAAGCTGCTGTATAATTGAGACTCTGAATAGTGGGATCTCAACTTCATGTAAGTCTATGGATGGCAATGTGCACATATTTGCATCAGCACTGCTGTGTTTGTTCACTGTCTCTGGACGTTATCACACTGGCCCTAAAGCAGAAAGAATTCAGC